GCCTGATGGAACCGGTGCCCCCCAGGAGCACTGCCGAGCACCTGCAGCAGAAATGCAGCAGACAGCCTCCTCACGTGCCCGCGTCCCAAATGCTCAGAGTCAGGGAAGTTTTCTGGGCTGTCTGGGAGAAGCTGGACTGACTTGGCTGGGATTCCCCAAACCCAGCAAGGGTCCTCAATAGGAGCTTGGTAGACAGAAACGATGACAAATACCCCAATATCCACAGCGAACACTAATAGCTCACAAAATGGCAGGGAAACAGGTTTCTCTACTGCCAGACTTCCTGGAGCTTTTAGGTTTTTGGGCTTTTTTTTTTTAAGTTTATTTATTTTGGGGAGAGAGGGAGAGAGAGAGGGAGAGGGAGAGAGAGAGAGAAAGAGAGAGAGGGAGGGAGAGAAATCCCAGGCAGGCTCTATGTTCAGCATGGAGCCCAACACGGGGCTTGAACTCACGAACCATGAGATCATGACCTGGGCCAAAATCAAGAGTCGTCGGAAGCTTAACTGAGCCACCCAGGCGCCCCCACTGCAGGGCTTCTTGGAGCTCTTAATACACTTTGGAGCATGCAGAATCTCCAGAGGGGGACATAAGAGTTCCCAAACACTGGTGATCACAGAACCTTTATTTCTGTAACAGGTTACACAGGATGGGAAAGGGTGGCAGGTTTCATGCTCCACTGCTACCCCTCAGCCTCCCACTAGCTCTCACTCCTCTGGATCCCCTAGCTGCACTCTAATTCAGGAGCCCAAATCTGTCACCTGGACTGTCACAGCAGTTCCCAGCTGCTGGACCAGGCCATGCCCCTTCAGTCCACAGTAGTCAGTCACCATCATCAGATGCAAATCCACTTGTCACTTCCTACTTACAACACTCGGCGGCTCCCCACTGCCCTCACAGAACTCGTGACCCCTGGTTCCTACTTACCTCCGTGGTTTCATCTCTTGCCACAACTCCTCTCCAACTCCATGCTTCCAGTCACATCCGGGAACTGCCTGTGCTCCACAACAACCCCCCCCCCCCCGGGGCCCCACCCTGCCCTGCAACTGACCCTTCAGATCAGTTTGGAGAAAACTTTAGAAAGCCCTGTGTGGGCTGGACCCCATCCCCTGGGGGGACCTTTCATAGTACTTAAACAACATGGCAACTGCTTCATCACTGGTTTGTATTCCCCACTGGTTCTGAGAGGACAAAAATTCTTCCTCACATTTTTCTTTTTTTAAAAAAATTTTTTTAATGTTTTTAATTATTTTTGATACAGAGAGAGACAGAGTACGAGTGGGGGAGGAGCAGAGAGAGAGGAACACACAGAATCTGAAGCAGGCTCCAGGCT